TACAAAATGAAGCTCAACCCTGCCAAATGTGCTTTCGGAGTATCTACGAGAAAGTTCCTTGAATTCATAGTCAATAGCAGTGGAATTAAAGCTAATCCAGCTAAGGTTAAAGCAGTAATGGACATGAAGCCGTCGTCCAACACTAGATAAGTTCAGTGTTTGACAGGGAGAATAGCAGCCCTAAGTCGTTTTGTATCCAGATCAAGCGACAAATGTCAACCGTTCTGTCAAGTCTTAAAGAAGGCATTTCAATGGGATACCTGATGTAAGGAAGCGTTTAGAGCCTTGAAAGAATATCTGAGCTCTCCCCCTGTTCTGGTTAGCCCCCTAGAAAGGGAAGTGCTTACCCTCTACTTAGTTGTCTCAAACTTCTCAACCAGTGCAGCTCTCATAAGGGAGTGAGATAAAGCTCAGCAACCAATTTATTACTGCAGTAGAGCTCTGAGGGGGGCCGAAAAGAGATACCCAAAGATGGAGAAGTTTGTTTTGGCATTAGTCACAACTGCTAGAAGGCTCAAACTATACTTCCAAGCTCATACTATCGAGGTTCCAACAGACCAGCCAATGAAGCAAGTGTTGCACAGGCTAGAGTCTTCGGGAAAGTTGGTTAAGTGGGCTATCGCGCTCAGTGAGTTCGATATCAGGTATAAACCTAGAGTGGCTGTCCAAGGGCAGATTTTATAGCAGAATTTACAACAGAACAATCCATGAAAGCAGTGTAACTGGTACCTGACCTCCCTACATGGAGGATTTCAGTAGATAGGGCTGTCAATGCTTAGGGCAGCGGTGCTGGCTTAATCCTGACCTCCCCCAATGAGATAGGTGTTGAATACACTCTTAGGTTTGGATTAAAAGCTTTGAACAACGAAGCAGAGTACGAGGCCATTATAGCAGGGCTCAACCTTACACACTCGATTGAGGCATAACAACTTGATGTCTATAGTGACTCACAACTTGTGATAAATCAGATAAAAGGGTCTTACGAGGTCAAAGGTGTAAAGATGGCTCTTTATCTTGGAAGGGTGCAGGAGCTAATCAAGAAGTTTGTGCAAGTTAAATTCAAGCACGTCCCTAGGACAGAGAATTCATGAGCAGGTGCGCTAGCAAGGTTAGCAACCGCTTCTCAGGTGAACTTGGATAGATTGATTCCAGTGGAACACTTAGCAGAACCATCAATGGGAGTTCACGAAGAGGTGTTCCCAGTCATGGATTTAACAAGCTGGATGTACCCCAGTCGAGACTACCTGCAGAATGGAGCCCTTCAAACAGACCCTAAGGAGACAGCAAAACTAAGGGTGAGGTCGGCCAGATTTTCCATCTTACAGGGTAGTCTGTATAAACGAGATTTTTCAACACCTCTTCTCAAGTGTGTAGGGGATGAGGACGCGAACTATATACTTAGAGAGATCATGAAGAGTATGCAAAAACCATATTGGAGCCAGGGCTTTCGCAGGAAAAATTTTAACGCAAGGATACTATTGGCCCACCATGCTCAAAAATGCCATAGACGTGGTTAAAAAGTGCAGGGTCTGCCAACTGCATGTCAATATTCCCCATTGTCCACCAGAGCTCCTAACAACAGTAGTAAGCCCTTGGCCATTCCAGCAATGGGGCTTAGATATTCTAGGACCCCTCCCAGTGAGTGTAGGGCGGTACAAATTCGCCATTGTTAGAGTGGATTATTTTATCAAATGGGCAGAAGTAGAGCTCTTGGCAACCATTACAAAGCAGAAAATGCAGAACTTCGCTTGGAATTCCATAATTTGTAGGTTTGGAATTCTTAGAGCTTTTGTCTCCAACAATGGAAGACAATTTGATAACCAAAAATTCAAAAGATTTTGTGCTGAGCTTGGGATAAAAAATTACTTCTCAACTCCCGCTCATCCTCAATCCAATGGGTAAGCAGAAGTTACCATTCGAACCATACAGCTCCTCGAGGTATTATGGGCTTACAGAACTACAGCCAGGACAACCACGCAAGAAACACCATTTGCATTAGCTTTCGAAACTGAAGTTATGGTCCCCGTTGAAATTGGACTTCCATCTCTTAGGACCGAGTTCGCAAAGCCAGAGCACAATGATGAATCACTTCTACTCAATCTAGATCTTCTAGATGCAAGAAGGAACAAAGCTCTGCAGCGTATAGAGAGTTACCAAAGGAAAACAGCAAGGTACTATAACAGAAAGGTAAAACACAGAAGTTTCAAGACAGAGGATTTAGTACTTAGAAAGCTTCTACTTGCAAAAAAGGACCCCTCCCACGAAAAGCTTGGTCCTAATTGGGAAGGCTCTTACATCATATCAAGGATAGTCAAACCTAGAAACTATGAATTGCAAACAGAGGAAGGAAAAATTTTACCTCATTCGTGGAACATAGAGCACCTTAAAAAAAAATTTCAGTAAGTTCATCCTGTAATAAGGATATTTTCAATAAAATTGCAAGTTTTTTTTCCCTGTGCAAATCCTTGGAATAGCTAAAAAACTAGAGATGAGCTTTTCAACTCATAAATTAAAGATGAGCTCTTCGACTCATAAACAAAAGATGAGCTCTTCAGCTTTTAAACTAACGATGAGCTCTCCAGCTCATAAACAAAAAATGAACTCTTCAGCTCGTAAACTAAAAATGAGCTCTTTAGCTCATAAACAAAAGATGAGCTCTTCAGCTCATAAACTCAAGAAGAGTTCTTCAACTCATAAACAAAGACGAGCTCTCCAGCTCGTGAGCTCTTCAGCTCATAAATCGAATATGGGCTTTTTGGTTCATACACAAGCGATGAGCTCTTCTACTCATAAGATTAAGATAGGTTCTTCAGATCATAAGCATGCAATGAGATTAAGAGCAAAATGAAAGTATAGCAATTGACAGAAAGAAGACTTAACCATCAAGTAAAACAAAGGTTCGAAATTTCTATAGCAATACAATGGAAGAAGCAAAAGAAATATAAGGGGAGTTCTTAAATCTTAACCGCCCAGAAGGCATTTCTTGAGCTCTGCCACCTCCTCCCTTAGACGAGCATTCTCTTCTTTTAGCTCATGTCTCTCATTCTCTGTCTCCGAAAGAATATCCATAAGTTTCTACCCAACTGAAGAGAAAAGAACAGTTCCTAACGAAGATAAGGAAGGAGAAAAGCCACCTGGAGAACCGCCCCTCTTACGCTTCCTGGGAGAGGTATTGGCATCTTCGCCTTCATTGGACTCCGAAGAAGAAGGATTAGAATCTGGGAAAAAAAAACAAAATCCATAGCAGCTCTTGCAGCGCTGAATAGAAAGAGATTGTCTGATGTCATTAGCTCAGGAAAGGACATAAGCACAGCGTGGACTATCTGTTCGACTCTCATCGCCTCCACTAGGTCCAAGTCAGGGGCACCTACAAAGTAAAATAAATTTTTTGATGAGGGCACGCCATCATAGAGCCTAGCCAGTGAAGGCAATCAAGACTCAAACTTGTGTAAGAATAACTCTTCCAAGATCGAGGAACTCTGCACTCTCTGTACCGCAGTTCAGTGGAACTCCAAGAGTCCCTGGAAACAAAAAAAAAAACAGCTGAACCCATCCCCCAGGAGGGAGATGAAGGAAAGGGTAGCCCCAGACGAAACAGACATAGTTAGGCAAGAAAAAGAAAGTCTAAAGATACGATAAAGGGGACGAATATTTGTGGAACACTCTCTAAGAGTCTGGGGCAACACAACAACTGCCAATAAGAAAAACCCTAGCAATTGAATAAGCTTCTAAGAAAAGGGCAATATGAGACAGAGATAGACATCGGTTCCTAAAATAACAAAATCGAAAAGTCCAAAAATACAAAAATCACCTCAGACTTGGGGGTCCAGAGCGAGGAGATGAACAAAGGACAAGAAGCGTACCTAAGTGAGGATGAACAGTGGGCCAAGACTCGAAACGGAGGTGAGAAGTAAACTTCGTTAAAGTCACAAGTTGAATCAGGGGAGATCGATTTTCAGCAAAACCTTAGACGCACCAACAGAATCGAAAGTCTGAAATTACAGGAAGAAGAAAGGGAAAAGCTTTGAGAAGGAGTTCAAAGGGTGAAATGAGTCGTTTCCCCTCAATTCAGAGGCATTTAAAGTTAACAGTACGAAATGAAGACGTGCACAAGAAATAAGGGAGTAAATGATTACTTGAAACTGTCAAAAACCTGTTTGCGCGCAAATTGAGGTCCACGTATGGAGGTCGGCCTTAATTAAATCTTAGCTCAGTCCCTGCCCAAGTTCACTAGGGCTAAGGGCTGGGGGGGCAACTGATGATGCCCAAAAAAAATTTCAGCTAAGTACGATCCCAGGAGCCGAAGTTAGGTCAGGAGGTCTGACCAATTACGTAGAACCCAAGGGACCCAAGCTGGAGCTTCCCCCCAAACAACTCAATAGCAGAGAGGATAAAGAAACAGCGGGGCTGGAGTCCAGGCGAAAAATCTTTAACCAACCGAGATCTTCTCCTCAAAAATCAGGAGCGATTCTGCTAAGATCTGGCCTAAAGATCCTTAGGAATTGAAATTGCACTATAAATACTATACTATGCCTCCAAGATGGGAAAGGAGACCCGAGTAACAATAGAGGCATACTGTTAGTTCCACCCCCATTATCAATAGAACAAGAGCAAGAGCCTCCATTAAAAAGTAGATTAGTCGAACTCTCGAGCTGATGAACTATTATATTTTTACTGTTTAAATCATCTTAATCCCCAAACAATACTTCATATGATCCTCACAAGCCCAGTAGCTTAGGTCTAAGCTGTCAAGCATAATTTATACCTTCTACACATTCACTTTAATTCACACCATCAAGTAACATTAAAAACAAAAAATAAAGTAACATTTAAACACAAAAAAATAATAACATTTAAAAATTAAAAAAACAATAAAATTAAATATTAATATTTAAAAAATAACAGTGGTAGCATGATAAAAAAAAACAGTATAATTGAATATTAATATTCAGAAAAATAGTAACATTCAAATGTTAACAATAATATGCTCATAAAAAACAATAATAACGTGTTTGACAAAAAATAATAACACGAAAAAAGTAGTAGCATGCACAACAAACAAACAATAATATAGAAAAAAGTTGTACTGGTACAACGTCGTCTTCTGCATAAAAATACACAACCAACTAAACCGAAACCTTGATTGGTCATCGATTACAACCAACTCGTGAAAACAAGCCTCCCGACGACACCTTTCTTCATACCCTTCCTCAATCTCTTCACGATCAAACTCGGGTCCAGATGACTTTCTCGAGTAATTGTTGCCCATTAGTTTCTTCTTTTTGCCAAGTCCTCCAATCCAAGCAGAGATTTAACACTTTTCTTCTTGGACTTTGACTCCCTTGAACCACCACAACAGCAGCAGCACCATGAAGGCCAGCAGTCACAAGCCACCTTTGGCCTCTTCTTCGACACCGGTGGATTGTTGTCAATGTCGTACAATGCTCGCCGGTTGAATACACAGTCAGTGCCAAGTTGCCAACGTATACTGGGCCTTGAATGCCACCTGGGCCTTTCATGTTGATCTGTTTGTGAAACATTATATAAAGGGCATTTTTGAGTTTTTAAAAAATTGTGGACTTAATTATTTATTATTAAGATAAAAAATAAATTTATTACAAAATAAACTTATTTGATGTACTCAAGTCATTATAAGTCCTTTAAGGATGACTCTATCCCAATTTTTACAAATATATATATTTAAGAATCAAACAAGTGCAATCACCCAATTATATGAATTTAAAGGAGAACCAAGATATCATCTTTCCTACCTCAAATTGAGCATTATGAATGGAAATTTTTTCTTCAACCCCAGCCTAAAGCATCACCACCCATTCATCACCACCCTTCACTGTGTACCTTCAATCAAACATAAAGTAACAATGTACTATTTCAGGAGAATTGAACAAACATTTACTTTGCACAAACATTTAATTTCAGGATAATATGATAAATACAAAAAAAAAAAAAGAATTGAAGAGAAGGCCACAAACATTTACTTTTGGGCTATAGTGCTATCTTTTAATCAATTCATGTAATATGATATTTTTTAACGTGCAAAGTCTCATTCACTCTGCTTATTAAGAGGATACATTAGGGGAAAATTTCACTTTGCACCCCGAAAAATTCAAGCTTTCCCACTTTATACCTTCAAAAATAAGATTTTTCACATTACACATTCAATGTATTAAAAGTATTACCGTGTGATCCTTCCATTAGTTTCCGTTACTTATTCTGTCAAAATTCATTTTATTGACGATGATAGAATGAGTAATAGAAACTAACGGAAGTGTCGCACTATAATAATTTTAATACATTGAGAGTGTAATGAGAGAATCTAATCTTTGAATGTATAAAATAAATTTTTAAATTTTCATGGTACAAAATACAATTCGCCCAAAAATGAGAGGATATTCTTCTCTCTCTACGTGTATAACTATGAGACTCTCATGAAGTCTTCCGCAAACACCAACACATATGTTTTCTTTTGGAGTTATGTTAATGGGACCTAAAAAAATTAATTTTATTTATTGACATAATAATGTATCAAGTGAGAGAGTCTCAATAAACAAGTATAAGAAATACAGTTACAACAATACTATTACACCACATCGTTGTCACATTTTTGTGAGTGCATGGCCTAAGACACGTGATCTTATGCATAGTTATGCACATGTCCATACAAAGCATCGATTTCCTTGACCACAAAGCACCTGCCTACATGCATGCATTTTGGGATGCAAATTTTGTACATTTTTCTATTCTAATTTGTTTCATTTTCAATGTCAACTGTCAAATAACAAGACTTATAAATGTTAGTATTTGTGAAAAACTTCTGATTTCCTATTTCATCCCTAATTATTATAATAAAATTAATTATACCTACCTACCTAATTTTATCTAATTTTTATTTTTTACACTTATTTGACTTTTAACTTGTTTTGGACTCTTTTATAAAGATTACTAAATTCTTTTCAATTCATTTATTAGTAGTATAGTTACATACAATAATCTATATCTATATAAAGATGTAAAATCCTATATTTGTTAAACCATTACACACACGTTACCAAGTTGAACTTCACGATCAAATGTATGTTATATTTTATTTTTTGATATACAATAATATAATAATATTATGATAAGTCATCTAATCAACCTATTTAACAATATAAAATTTAATAATTCTATAATATAATTAAATGTACAAATGTCTAAAGGTATCATAGAGATAACTAAATAAATAAAAGATTAAGTAGTCAAAAATTTATAGAATTGGTCAAAATTAAATTTAGTAATAATTAAAATAAAAATTAATTATTCGGCACCTACTTTATTATTTGATTTAATTACACATACAATTCATATTTTTTTTAAAAATAATATTAGTTAAATTTGTTTACGTGCATTGCTAGTATACCAAATGGGACAATACCGACAGTAGGATGACAAAAATGTAAACAATTAAAATGGAAAAAGATTAGTCTTAAAGGAGAAACTTACCATAAACGGCGGTGACTCTCGGGACTACTTTCTACGAATAGGGGACATGCCTTTAGGCGCAAACGCCATGATTTGGTGACTTCAATTTTGGGCAGATACTTCAGTTTCTTGCATTTTGCTACATACAGTTCTTCAAGGGATGAAAGCTTATCAATCCAATCGGGTAAAGCTTCCACTCCAAAGCTTTCTAGATGCAGATATCTCAGGGCGCTGAGATGTTGAAGATGTTCTGGGATAAGGTCCCAGTGAGGCCACCCATACAAGTGTACTTCATTAAGGGATGCATGCAAGTGTTGGACAACATCAAGACTCGGGAATGAATCAAGCTCTTCAGAAAAGGGGCCAATCATCAAGTTTACCAAGCAGGTAAGAAATTTTAGCCCCATAGGCAAGCAAGTTAATTTTCCACAATGTACAATTGTTAGAGTGGAGAGAGAACACAATGCTTGTATATTTGGGAATGAGGTTAGATTGGTGCAATCTTCAACCTTTAAGGTGTTGAGGGATGTGCAAGATTCTAGCCCACTTGGAAGACAAGTTAACCCACCACAGGACGAAAGAATTAATAGACGAAGGGATGTAAGGCCTTGAATACTCGGAATGGAGTTGAGATTTGGACAACTTTGGACATTCAAAATCTCAAGAGATGGATGGGTGCTGAGGTCATCTGGCAAATTGCTCAATTGCTCGCAATCCTTGATTTCTAGCGATCGAAGACGAGAGGTGGTGTCGCATCCCCGCAAGTACGGAACTTGTGTCAACTTGGGACAATTGGATATCTTTAGAACCTCTAGATAATTATTGTCCTGAAATAGTTGATCTCGTAAATAAGTGAGTTCAGCCACCCCATCAACCTCGAACTTCGTCAGAGTCTTTAGTTTGCTGCTACATATCATTTCCAATGGCAAGCCGCTACATACATTCTGATAACGCAATTTCTTAACGACTGGGAAATGACTTGGAGCACTTTTCAACTGTGGGCACCCATAAATGGACAACTCATAAAGGCAAGGAAATGCTTGCACCCCACTTCCTTCTGGTAATTCTATCCATTCTTCTAGGTTGTCCATTTTCCACATTGCGAATCTTTCCAAAGAAGGAAATAATACCTTTGTCTCGTTACTACTGTGGATAGTGCCTGATCCATGGCAATCATAACCATAGAATGACTCACCTAGGCATTTTACATTATCCATTTCATCCAACTCAAGCTTTCGAAGAAGTGGTAGTCTGCCGAGCATTGGCATATGCTCACATCTTCTGCAGCCTTTTAGTTTGACCGTCACCAAATTGTTGAGTGATAACCAGACGTCTTCACCGTTAGTAGTCACAGCCATCTTCATTATCCATAGCGGGAAGTAATCACCCGGGAAGCCGTTTATGTCTAAGCCTTTTAAGCTTCGGGAAGGTTGGAGGCCTTCCAAGACACCCTCAGCGTTCTGATTACCATTCCACATAGATTTCCAGTTGAGTGTCAGCTTGTATATATTTTTCTTTCCACATAAATCTGCTTTTTGTGCTTCCTCTTTACTGCCCACTTCCTGGAGATCATATATATCAAGCTTACCTCTGAGATTTTTTAAATATCCCAACTCTTCAATTTGAAAACCCTTGTCTTCACCCACAGTGAAGAATGGTAGAGTTTGAAGGGAAGTCAACCACCTTATCTCACATGGCATCTGAACCATGTTATCCCGTTTATCAAAATAGATATGTCTTAAACTGGTCAAATTTTTGAATTTCTTAGGAAACGTTTGAATTGTGACCTGTCCCCCAAGTCTTAACGTCTGCAGATGGTAAAGTTCAACAATGGATTTCGGTAAACCATGCATCCGACTATTTGACAAGTCAAGGTACCTTAAGTGTACCAATTTGCTAATTGAAGACGGCAGCTCATAAACATAAGCATCACTTAAATTCAAGACACGCAAGTATCTGAACTTCAAAAATCTGTCAGGTGCAAAACTTTCCAAAAATAAAGTTCGCAGCCTTTCTGCACTCTCATTTTGGATATTACCAATACTTTCCCAACTGGAATATAGTGCTAAATGTCGAACATGAAGATTCTCAGTTCCCTTATCATCCTCTTGCGTAAAGCAATCGGGTTTTGAAATCAATTGTGAAAGATCATGCACCAAATCATGCATCTTACAGTGTGTAATGTTGTTATACTCATCCTTCTCAATATCTTGAAATAAGGAACTTTGCAACAAAGCTTCAAAGTATTCATTACCAACATCCTCCAATACCCTGTTCCTTCCTTCCTTGGGTTGGAGATATTCTTGGGCCATCCATAGTTGGATTAATTGTTCCTTTTCCATGAGGGAATCTTTTTTGAAAAGTGAACAATATGCAAAACAATGTTTCAGTGATGGCGATGATAAATGATCAAAACTCAACTTAATAATAGGAAGTACACCATTTGCATCTCCAACTGCACTCCATACTCCATCATTTAAAATTGCCAACCATTCATCTTTGTCCTTCTTCAAGTGCATCATACTCCCCGCTATCTTTGCTGCCAGTGGTACACCTTTACATTTTTCTGCGATTTTTCTTCCAATGCCTTCAAAATCTGAATTAATTGGAGCTCCTCCATTTGCAAACGCTACTCCTTTGAATATGGACCAACAATCTTCTGATGATAGTGGTTCCACACAATACTTGGGGAGCGTCTCCACAATTGAGGCCACTTTATGACTACGCGTAGTGATCAGAATGTTATTCCCATGGGTAGTACTCACTCGTAACATACAAGACTTAAAATTATTCCACTTGATAGGATCTTCGTTCCATATGTCATCGAGTACGAGCAGATATTTTCTCCCTTCCAACTTTTCCTGAAGTTTTTTAAGAATTACGGTTTCAATCTCTACATCACACTTCTTCTTTGTCAGAGTTTCAAGGATCTCTTTGAAAAGCCTTTGGACATCAAAATTATCAGATACACATACCCAGATTCTTAAATCGAAGTCTCTCGTTATCTCATCGCCATTATAGATCAACTTAGCCAAAGTTGTTTTTCCAAGCCCTGCCAGTCCCACAATGGGAAGCACAGAGACAACATCCTGATTTTCCGGGCTGGTTAACATTTGAACTATATTTGATGCATCACCTTCCCTTGCTACAACAACTTCAGATTGGTGAAGAAGTGAATTGGTCTCTCGGCCAGCAAAGGCTTGGTGATCGACAGTGACCTGAGAAGGGGCTGCTAGTAAACCCAGTCGAAATCCCAAAACCTTTGCTTCTTCGTTGATCTTAACCAAGGATGTGTTGATTTTCTTGATTTTATGAGCCATTCGCGAGCGAAACAAGACTGGGTTAGAACTTGAAAGGAAGTAGCGTACCTTTCTCCTCATTTGATCTCCAATCTCCACCTTTCGCCGCGCGATTTCGTAAGCGAACTCATCCAAGACATCATCGGCTCTATAAGCTTCATCCTTAAGCTTCTCCAGCCATAGCTTGACGGACTTTCTGCTAACTCCTTGTGTTTCCGCATCAGCTAAAAAGGCTTGAATCATTTCAACAGAGTCTTTGAGCTTAGCCAGATCTCCCTCGAAGCCCCACACAAGTCCGACCTCTTCAGCTGCAACAGAAACTATCTTATTCAATATTTCTTTGACAAGATCAGCCGCTACACCTTGAATAGCCATTGAAGATTAACTTCAGAGAGAGAGAGAGGGTGATCAAGAGGCAGTGAAGAGACAGAGAGAGAGTGTGTGTGATCAAGATGCAGTGAAATGAGTGGTTCATCTGACTTGTGAAATGAGTCGTTGCTTATGAAGTACGGACACTCAGAATATCTGTATCGAATATTTTTGAATATAAATATACGTCGGATATGTATCGAATATACATCAGATACAGTCGAATACGTTTTAGATACGCGTGAGATATGCCTAGAATATGCATAAGGATACAATGGGATATTACTCAAATTTTTAAAAAATATAAGGACACAAGAGCAATATTTTTAGGCCCTTATTTACAAAAAAAAAAAAATTATTAAACTAAAAGTCTAAAAGACTAAAACTCTTTACATTTTTTTTCACATTCCGTCGAGCCCTCCACTCCCTTCAGTCGATCCTCGACGACGATCGTCTCTCTCTCTCTCACTCACTCACACTGATGATCGACTGACTCTGATGGTTAGTTATTATTATATATCTTTGATAGAAGTTATGATTTACTTTATAAATTATAATTATTACATTAAATATAATAATAAAATTTTTAAAAATATATATTTTATGAACGTATCCTAGTTGTACTCGTATCCTTTTTTTTTTTTTTGTCTTATTCTCGTACCCGTATTATATCGTATCCATATCCCGTATTCGTATCCGTGCTTCATAGATGGTTGCTGATCTTGATATTTACTTTACTTTTTTTAAGAAAACTTGATAAATACGGGATATGAAGTAAAAATCAAGAATAGAAGATAAAACTCTTACGAGTAAATTATATTTTATTATCGACGTGATTGTTTGGAGGATTAATTATGGGTGGTATTGAAAATATATTCTTTATATTTTTAATATCAATAGAAATTAGTACTAATAATAGAAAATATTTTAATTTTCTCTCGTGTTTGTTTGTTCAATAGATATTATAATGAGTCTCACAAACAATCATCTATTTCATTACATCTTATATAAAAATATATTATTTTGTCCTTAATATTATCAATTCCACTACTCCGTTTATGTAATGTTTTTGCACAATATTTGGTATAATACATGATATGACAATCCATATCCAAAAAATTCCAGATAATGTAAAAAAATCACATAAAAAATAAAGAATCTAATGCTCTGAATTGGTGATACAATAAAAAAAATTTTAAAAAAATCGGTGACACCGTACGCTTAAACATAATATAAGGAAAAAATTTAAAATAATTTTTAAAAAAAATCGATAATATCGTACACTTAAACATGACACAAGGACAAAATTAAAAATAATTTTTATTAAAAAAAATTTTAAAAAATGGTGACACCGTACCAATAAACATAATACAAAAAAAATTCAAAATAATTTTTTTTAAAAAAATAAAAAAAAACGGTAACATTGTACGCTTAAACATAATATAGGAAAAAAATTCAAAATTAATTTTTTTATGTGTGAACTCTTCATAGATGAGGACATTTGTGTTATTTTTTTCTTTTATACCGTCCTTTCACTTATACCATGAAGATAATACCACCAGGTAAATGGTATTCATTAATACCATGTACAAGGTTTAACGGACACTATGCAAACCAGATCGATATTACGACCTGAAAAATAGTATTGCATGCAAAATGTCAAACAAACAATGTAATAGGTAGGCCTCATGTACTATTTTCTTTTATCCCATCCTAGTACCATTTAATCCCCCAAATAAACATGACCCTAAATTATTATTCTTATTTTACTTTGTATTCTTAATTATAAAAATTTTTATATTATACCCTAAATTATTAATTTTATTTCATGTCACTTCAATAGATAACGACAAATTTAAAAATTTGTCAAATAATGGAGGAAAACCCCAAAAAACTTTCGGTTAAGTGTCTAGTAGCACTTTATTTTACATCTTTTACAATTAAATGATTGTTGGGAAGAAAAAATATGTCGGCAAGAGGAAGATAATTTAGAGCTTATAAAAGACAAAGTTATGGATAAGTATTTTTCTTAATTTTTGACTTGTATATGTATAATAAACAGTTATTTATTGATAGTACAGATTATTCACACGTGCATTTATCGTCAATTTCGTTATCTATTAAAGTGATCAAGATACAATGAATGAGAAATGATTTATTTAGCGTGTAGTGTGAAAGAGAAATAAAAAGAGAGTAATGCTCATCTTAATACTTTTAAAAAAGAAAAAAAAAAGAAAAAAAAGCCCAATAAATATTGGGGTACTAATTAAAAATCAAGAGTGGGACATAAAAGTCTTACCATTGAGAGGCGTTTACAATTTACAGTGGGGAAACCCACTTTAGAAACAAATAAATAAAAAAAAAACTATAAGAAAGTTAAAATGAGAAGGAAATGCTGTCCACACCCTTCACTTTTTTCAATCCCCAAAAATGCATTTACACCACCGACAAAGTGCACCACTTTATACCGCATAGAAGGCATCTTGAGAAAAGTCATAGAAGGTGTCCTCAGAAATATCATAAAGAAATTAACGAATTGTCAATCCTTTTCGACTTGTTTTTATTGAATATTAGGGTAATCCGGGTCTGAAAGGACAGTGTAATATAAATTAATTAATTAATTTAAAAAAGTGAAGATCCCTAAGAATAGTGACAAAGTTAAATATATGATTTAGGGTAGACACACTTTAAGTATAATAGATAAAAAATAGTGTCATATATTTATATTTTTTATATTAGATTTGATACTTAAAAATTTATTGAACATAAAAAAAGTTTATTTGAAAGAAATTAATAAGATAACATTTATACATTAAGGATCAATAATATAATTTATTTAATACAAATAAAAGTAATATTCTATAATTTTTAATGTTTTTATAAATTATATATTTTACTTATTTTTGACTCTATATTCTATAATTTTGGAACCAAAAGAGACTTCAACAAATCATACCAATACTCTAAGTAATCAATTTTATTTTGTTAATTTTAAGAAAATTGGTATGAACTTTTTGTTTTTGTTTTTTTGTTGTAGTACCCAACTTGTTTGATCTAATTAATTTTGTTTTTTTATATATCATTACAGTAGACCCAAATAATCTAAAAAAATTTATTAAACATATATAATTAAAAAAAAAAAATTCAGGGTGGTCCCATATCCCACCTCCCTCCGCCATTGCTAGAGAAAGAGAGTAAAAAGTGAAAAGAGGAAGATAAAATTCAATATAAATGGTATTGAGAGAGATGTTGGTGATTGTTAGATGAGTTTATTTGAAACTATCGGATAGACTTGTTGAACCTGCCCTATTTTATATTACAGAATCAACAAAATATAACATAATTAACTTTAAAAAATATTAATTTATATACATATAATCAAAATCGAATATAAATTTATATACATATAATCAAAATCAAATCAAATTTAATACAAACTAAAAATCTAATTTATCAAAAAGCATATCGATAAAATATTTTCTATCAAAAAAAATATCTTCAAATATTCTTTATAAAATATTCTTTTTTTTAATTAGTACAAGTTATTACAAAATTATTAATTTATAAGAATATATTAGCTTGGGTTTTTGTTAAGAGATAAAAAAAAATAGTCTTGAACTTTTGATTCAAGACATGTGTAAGGCAAGTTAGTTTGAGATAGTTAATTAAATAAATAAAATTAAAATTAATTATATTTAATATAAATGTGTTAAGCAGCGCCCTTGTTTTTTTTTTTTTAATATGTTATATTGATGAGTTTTTTTTAATCAAAATATTATCATTGTCTCTTATATAAATTTAAAATGTTACACTGCACAGTTGATATTAATAGCAAATTTGAACTATTTAATTATTATGTTAGAGAAAATCTTGTGATTCAAGTCAGTCGTAATCTTTGACTGGTTGGGAGGGAAAATATTAAAGAAAAAATGTTAATTTCTTGACCGTTGAATGAATAAATTTGAGACCGTAAGATGTGTTTTAAGATTAGTCATAATCGTTGACTAGTTGGGAGGGGAACTATTAAAGAAAAAATGGTAATTTCTTGACCGTTGAATAAATGAATTTGAAACTGTAGGATGGACTTGTAAAAGCCGCCCTATTTTTTATTATAGATATAGATTTGACAGAAATAAAAGTAATATTTTTTTAATTACAAATTCCATATTTTACTCATTTGGCTATGTATTTCATATTTTTTGAGCCAAATGAGGTTTCAACAAATCATACCAATACTCTAAATAATCAATTTTAGTTTGTTAATTTTAAGAGATAAGTATGAACTTTCTCTTTTTGTTTTTTTGTTCTAGTACCCAACTTGTTTGACTTAATTAATATTGTTTTTCATAAATCATTGCAGTGGGCTCAATTAATCCAAAAAACAATATAGAAAACTTATATAACTAAAAATAAATAAATTTTTTCAGGATGCCCCCAGACCGCTACTCCTCTGCCACCGCTAGAGAGAGAGAATGAAGAGTGAGAAGATGATGGTAAAATTCAATATGAATAATTTTGAGATAGATTTTGGTGGTCGTTGGATGAATGAATTTTAGACCATAAGATAGGTATATTGAAACCGTCCTATTGTATATTATAAATATCTATAATATAAAACAGGGCGGCTTCAACAAGCCGATCTTCCGGTCTCAAATTCATTCACCAATTATCAAGAAATTACAATTGTTTTCTTTAATATTTTCTCCTCCCTAAAAAGTTAATGATTACAACTGATCTTGGAACACATTTTACGGTCTCAAATTCATTCATCCAACGGTCAATAAATTATAATTTTTTTTCTTAATATTCTTTTCCCAAAAAGTCAATGATTACGACTGATCTTAGAATATCTTCTGTGTGTTGTAATATTTTGAATTGTATAAGATACAATGATAACATTTTGATTAAAAAATACTCATTAATTTAAGATAAAACAAAAACAAGGGTATTGCTTAACACATTTATATTGAATACAATTAATTTTAATTTTATTTATTTAATTAATTATCTCAAACTAACATGTTTTATACATATTTTGAATCAAAAATTCAAGACTAATTTTTTTTATATCTTAAGGAAACCCAACACT